CTTGGGCTTTTGGTGCTCGCTAACTTGGTGAGAATATCTGCCCTGGTGTTTTCAGCACGTCTGATATGCTCCACCTCGACACTTTCGAAGCTTTGGATTAACTCTTTGACCTTCTCTAAGTACCTGCACATTAATGGTCATTTGGTTTGGTATTCACCGGAGATCTGAAATGTTACCAACTGGGAGTCACTAAAGACTTTGAGGTGTCTGGCGCCCATCTCTTTTGCTTGAATTAGGCTAGCAATCACAGCCTCATATTCCGCCTGGTTGTTTGTGGTATTGAATTCGAAAGACAGGGAATGTTCGACCGCAACACCGTCTGGATTTTCAACTATCATTTCTGCACCCGAGCCTTTGGCGTTTGATGAGCCATCAACATATAGTTTCCATATCGCCGATATCGGTGTCCCAGCGGTCTGGGCACTGAGCGGAGAACTTTGTGTCATTTCGGCAATGAAATCTGTTGGGGCTTGAGCTTTGATGGTGGTTCCTGGATCATAATTGATCTGGTATTCTGAGAGCTCAATCGTCCAGGACATCATTCGTCCTGCAAGGTCGGGCTTGTGCAAGACTTGGCGGATGGGTTGATTGGTTCTGACAGTGATGGAGTGGCACCGGAAATACGGCCTCAGCCTTCGTGCCACGAAAATGAGTGTGAGGGAGACCTTTTCAACTTGCTGATACCGCAGCTCAGCACCTTGCAGCACTTTGCTGATGAAGTAAACTGGCTTTTAGCCTTCATCCTTTGGCTCTCTGACCAACGTCGCGCTGATGGCCTCAGTGCCAACGGCGAGGTGTAAATACAGGGTTTTGCCACTTTCTGGTTTAATGAGGACTGGCGGACAGGACAGAGCCCTTTTGAACTCCTGGAAAGCTCCTTCACACTCATCAGACTATGCAAAGGACATACCTTTTTTGAGCAAACCAAACAGGGGGAGTGATTTGTGTGCGGAATTTGCCAAGAAACGTGTTAGGGCTACCAGTCTTCCAGTCAGTTGCTGAACCTCCTTGACTGTTTGCGGGCTTCTCATTTCGATGACCGCTTTGCACTTATCAGGGTTGACCTCTATGCCTTTCTCAGTTAGCATGAAGCCTAAAAATTTGCCCGCCGGAACGCCAAAAGCACACTTACTCAGGTTCAGTCGCATGTTGTATTTTCGTAGCCTATCGTACATGCCCTGAAGATGCGTCAAGTGTTGCTCTGGTGTTTGCGATTTGACGATCATATCATCAATGTAGACTTCCACGCTGTCGCCAATCAACTCTTTGAACACTTCGTTCATCTTTCGCTGGTACGTGGCGCCCGCATTCTTCAGGCCAAAGGGCATCACAATATAATAGTAATTGGCGTTCTGGGTGATGAACGCTGACTTGATTTGATCCTTTTCTAGTAATGGAATTTGATTGTAACCAGAGTAGGCATCCATGAATGAGAGTATCTTGAAACCGGATGCATTATCCACCAGCTGATCAATGCTTGGAAAGGGATAAGCATCCTTGGGGCTTACCTTGTTTAGGTCGGTATAATCGACGCACATCCTCCATGCCCCACTGGGCTTTTTAACCAACACCAGGTTGGAGAGCCAGGTTGTATATCTGACTTTTTTTATGAAGCCAGCGATATGGAGCCTTTCCACTTCCTCGTCGATAATCTTCTGGCGATCCAGGCCAAACTTCCTCGTCTTCTGCGCGACAGGCTTTGCTTTGGGGTCTATGGACAAACGGTGGCAGCACACTTCAGGATCTATACTTGGCATATCGGATGGTTTCCAGGCGAAAAGGTCTCTGTTACTACGTAGCAATTCGACCAGCTTACTCCTAATTTCAGGATCAACGATAGCCCCGATAGTAGTTGTCTGGTGCTCGGCGTCGCCCAAAACGACATGCTCTAATTCTCCCCCTGGCGTGGGCCTAGAATGTTCTGCTCGAGGGTCGTCCCTAGCGTCGAATTCTACAAGAAAACATTGGTCAAGCTCTTTGTTACTTCTGTTAGTATTTTCTTTCGTTACCTGTGACGTTACCACTCGAGGCGTTGGTTAGTCTTTGAAGGTGACTTTAGGTGCTGGTTTCAAAGATATATTGTAGCAACTCCTGGCTACTGTTTGGTTTCCTTTTACCGTCGCGACCTTGTTGTCCCTCGCCACGAACTTCATCGCCAAGTGCGGATGCGATATGCTTGCTTCAAACGCGGCGAGCATTCTTCTGCCGAGAATTACGTTGTAAGCTGATTGGATGTCAAGCACCAGGAACTGGATGTCAGCTGACCTTGACGTGAGAGGCGTTCCCAAAGACAAACACAGGTTTATCATTCCAAGAGGCTTGGTGGTAGTTGCATTGAAACTTGAAAGTTCATCTGCAACTGGGGTTAAGTCATTAACTGTAAATCCTAATGCCCTGAAACATGGCAAAAATAAGATATCAACAGAGCTGCCGTGGTCAACAAACACGCGATTGACGCCGAAATTGGCGATTATTGCCTGAATGACAAGAGGGTCATCGTGTCCAGGGAGGAGGTCACCCAAATCGTTGCAATCCCACACGATTTTAGGTTTGACAGGACCTGAATCCACTTTTACCTTGTTGATGACTTTACCCGCAACCGCCAAACACTGTTTCAAGTGTCTCTTCCTGGCGTTGACTGATGATTGTTTCAAGCCCTCCTGAAATTATGTTTATCACCCCGTGCCTGATGACTGCTGAATCTTCATCATCTCCTTCTCTCCCTCCTCTATTTCTTTGGCTAACTGGCACTCTGCGGTCTCGTGGGGAGTCTTCTCTGCGATCTCGTGCGCGGCGAGGTTGATAACCAGGTTGGTTGTTCCTATTTTATTCTGGCAACCTGCTATGCTCGCGGTGTCGCCTTCCAGTGCCGGCATGGCGAGCACCGTCACCTCCACGCCTTTGTGCACCGCCTTTGATGAGCTCATCAATCTCATCCTTGAGGTGCCTGCATTCCTTGGTACTGTGGCCGTTGCTGCGGTGGAAGTTGCAGTACGCGGCGGCTTCTCTGGTCGGCTGCTGGGGTCGTTGGTTACTCTTGGGCTCTTCTTTGTATTCAGTTTGCAGGACGCTGTGTGATTTGCGTCCTGACGCGTCATATCCTGAAGGGTGACTGGCATACTTAGATACTTGTGACTCTTCCTGCTTTCTTCAACTTGGTTCTTACTTTTACTGACCGCCTTCTCTTGGTTATGGGAGTCATCAACTCGACTCCCTTTATACTCTTCAATTCTCATGAACTCCTGGGCTTTTTTCCTGACCTCTTCTAAGTCAGTAATTTCGTGACGGGCGAGTTCGTAAGCGAACGCTCCCTGTCGCAATCCTGAAAGGAGTATATGCACCTGTACCTTTGGGTCTAAGCCCTGCACTTGCAGAGCCTCTTTGTCAAAGTGGTCTAAAAAGGATCTGAGGGACTCACCGGATTGTTGGCAAATCTTTTCAAGGGATTGAACGGATTTAGGCACAGGGCGACTGGTTGCGAAGTGGGACTAAAACTTGCTTGCCAAATCGTCCCAGGATGCAATGCTACCGGTGGGTAGAGTGGTGTACCATGTCAGCGCTCTCCTTCCCAGAAGCGTGGGGAAAGTCCTGCACATAAGGAGGTTCGTCTCTCCGTGAAGGCTCATGGATGCCTCAAACTTTTGGATCCACTCAAAAGGATCAATGTCACCCACATACGTGGTGATGTTGGATGGGCCTTTGAAACCGAGGGGTATGGGGGTTAACCGCAAGCTATCGGTCAAAGGTTTGTTGCGTCCTGACGTATTAGCAGGCGTTATCCTTACATTAGGGTTCCGTGCATGCTGGTCCGGTTGTGGGTGGGGTACATGCGGGGCTTCAACTGAATAAGAGAGGGCTGGGGCGTGGTTCAAGGCCTGGTGGACGCCATATGGTGGCTGACCAGGATTTTGACAAGACCCTTGGGGTTGTGGGATGGCCACGTTATGAGGTTGCATGGCGTAACCGTGGAAAGGAAAACCAGCAAGGTAAGGTTGAGGGAAGGGAGCAGCAACGTTGTGTGTGTAAGGTCCTGGGGGATATGGGGCGATCATTGGGATTCGATGATCATTGTACATTGCTACTGGCTGGCTTCGGGCTGGTTGTGGACGATGGGCGAGTGGGATGGCTGATGGAGCAGCGGTGGGGAATGGAATTCCGAAATGAACTCCCAGTGGTGGGGGTTGGTATGGAACTAAGTTTTTCCCTTGCATTTCTCGCATAGGCGCGCGATGACTTAACTGTGCTATCCTGTTGCCAGTTGCTGGCAAATGTGGGCCAACAGATTGTAGTACTGGAGGGAGAACCTCGCCAGCGGCTCACTCGGTAGGGGCTGAATGCATAGATGGCAGGGAGTTGGAATATGTTGTCTGCACATGACCATCAGGGGTAACGGCCCTAGCTTGTTCCGCTCTTCTGGTCATGACAACCATGTTTAGCTATCAAGGTGTGAAATGCGTCTTGTGGATCTTTGGTAGGAGAATGGGAATAGAAGTTTATAGTTTCCCACAGACGGCGCCAATGTACCGTTGGGATCTATAAGCCCACTATGTTCCCTTCAGGGATGACTCACTATATGAATAATACCCTTAGCACAGGTATTGACCAAGCTAAGAAGTATTGCGCCAAGTATAAGCAAGTAATCAACAATGGATAAGTAAGTGATAATATGACTCAAAGTAAATGGGCAGAATAACGATACATAAGGTCCCTTCATGGTGTGCCCTAGGGGGCTATTTATAGGGAAAATGGTGTGGGTTGGTGAGGAGGGAGTCAACCCTCCTTGGGATTCACTCTCATGGTGGCAGTGTTTGGCGTGGCAAGTGCTGCTGTTGTAGCACCGCTGCGCCTTCTATGCCTGGCGATGTCAGTGTTGGGCAAAAGGGGCAGTTTCCCTTTAAGGTGCCTGTGACGGTCGCCTTTGGGGGTTAAGGTCCCAAGATGGGACATGTTGGTGCTTCCCCTTGGACGCGTCGCAACATAGGGGGATGTGAGGATCTACGTCAGCCCTTAGGGCTGATGTGGGTTGGAGCCTGGAGTTGGGCCTGAGCCATTGGGCCGCTAGTAGTTGGGCCATCTGAAACAAGTCGAATAGCAAAACATAGAGATATCGCAGGGACCTTGTTACAAAACCAGAAAGAAATTGAGGGTCCATTGGTACAGTTCTCAAACCACTCTGGAATCCTTGTTTCTGGCAAGAGAAACTTTTTGTCTCCACACTCCTTGTGCAATTCCTGTTAGTCATAATTCATTCATAAATTTAGCAGCAATCGTATAGTTTGAGTCAACGTGAAATATATGAAATATCAAATTAAATACGTAAGAAAACAAGAACCTCATTCAGTAACATGCTTCTACACTCGGATGTCAAGGACGAGCATTGTGTTGCTTGCAAAGTTCTTATGTTGGGTGAAATCCCTCTAATTTCTTGAAGATTCTCGCAAGCTTCCAAAATAAGTGTCGTCAAACATTCAGGAAATAGTGTGAGGTCTAAATCTCTCAAGGATGTGCACTTATCTACAATGAATGTTTCTAATTTGGGTGGAATCCCTCCAATTCCCAAAAAAATCTCGCACCAATATAAATGAATTTCTGTCAAATAGAGACATTTTTTGATGTATGCAGGAAGAATTGTGAGATTACTATTGCTTAGGAATAAACTTTGCACACTGCAAAACAAAGGGAGATCATTTCGAATGAATTTGTCTGATATATTGCATTCATAAAGGTAAATGCGGGGTTTAACCACATTGGTTTAGCAACATTTATTGAGATGATGGTATAAATATGAAAGTACCTTAAATTTTGCTACACTGTTGACTAATGTGGCAAAATTACCCTTAAAAACACAATCATTTTGTATCAAAATCAGAGAAACAATATTTTCAAAAAAAAATTAAAAAAATAGAGAAACAAAAATGTCTTTCCCCATAAAAAAGCCCTAGGCTTTAACTTCATCGTTTGTAAGCCTTAAGGCCAAATAAAACTTTGTAATGTTTAGTTTTAGCTTTTTCTTTCATTTCTTCATCCTTCAATGTCTTCAAATCTTCGAACACAACAAGTTCACAATTTCTTCAAATTCTCATTTTATTCTGCATTTGCGCTTCTTCACCTTCGTGTATTGTTGCGATTTCGGCAAGTGCACCGGTCGTAAAAGTAATAAAAGTGTACTGAGTACGAGATCGTTCCCACGATGATTGGTTTTCAAGCACTAGTTCGCTAACAACAATTTAGTTGGACAACAAAGAATGAGATGAAGAGAAGTGAAATTAAAAACAATTAATAACATGCAAATTAAAATTCAAAATTAGAAAGCAATTGAAAAGATGATTGATTAAGAATTTCAAAACAAGCGTAGTTAAGGTTTCGACTTCCCCCAATCTCCTCTATATGCAATGAATTAAATTGTCAAGAATTCGTTCTTAATATAATGCTAATAAATTCTTTCTAAGTTAATTAGGACTCAATTCATTGTTACCCTAAATCTATGTGATTTTGAAAGAACTCTGGTTCCCCGATTATTCCCCAAGAAAACATGCATTAAGATCAAGAATTTAAAGATTGCACAATTACCCTATGTCTATCCCTAGATCACAAGGATTATGATAAATTTACCAAGTCAGGTTCATGCACCAACATCCCTATTGTCATACAATTCCCCTAAATCAATCTATAAGGAGCAAACTCATAGAAAGCATTAAAGACGGATAAATTTATTCAATTATAAAAAGAAAAGAATTCAGGAACAATTTAATTCAAGACATACGATTCAATTGGGTTCCATCTACCCTTAACTACATAAAAGTATAGCCTAGCATACTGAATTCAAAAGCAATAATAAAGAAAAGAGAACCCCAAACCTCCATTGGTGTGATGTTGACTTGGTTCCTCAGTGCTCCAACGCTCCGCAACAGGATTCCTCTCTCAAGTCTCTATGTAATTTTCTGGATTGGTGAATTAGTTAATTCCATTGATCTCACGCTCCCTATTTATAACCTTTGAAGCCATATATTTTAATTCTTCGTCAAATCTCCCCATGAATCTCTATCAATTTCCAATCAAATCTTGATTTGTTTATGTTTTTATTTAAGATCCTGCATATTGGGCTGACAGATTGAGCTTCAAATCTTTGTTATGATTCCTTTATAACTTCTTAGCACCAAATCTTGTGGATTTACCTTCAAAATAAGCAAGATATCAAAACATTAGCTCAATTCTGAAATCTTTATTATTTTATCATATAACACCTTGAAATCCATGCAATCTACAATATAATCTTTATGTAATTTGGCCTAAAAACATGGTAAACCAAGGGTTTATCAAACATTCCCAGATTTGAATATTGCTGTCCTCAGCAATCAATCAGAATAAAACTAAGGGAATAAGGAGTAGGATTCTTAATTGCATGGAATTTGACAGAAATGATTCAACCAGAGACATGATTACAAAGCATTCAGACTATAAGGAATGATAAATCAATCAACAAGATTCATAATTCATCAGTTAAAAGCTGCAACAAATTTCTTAAGATCACGAATAAGGACAATTTCCTGAAACACTCCCTCACTAGGAATTCAATTCACTCATACTCAACTGTTTAGAAGGTTGGTTTTTCACTCGTATCCCACTGAATCAACACCACCATAGGCTTGCTTATATTCTCGCTCTCCACAGATATTGTGACATATCTCACAGATCAAGAGGTCTTGTTTAGGGTTATAACTTGGCCTGATTGAAGGAAGGGAAAATTTAGAGAATGAGCTCCAAGATTAAAATCCAGATTCAAAGAGGAATAAATGTAATCGTTTATCAATTTGTAAACAACTTTCTCCTTCTTTTTGGTCTATTCTTCTTCTTTTTCTTTTGAACTTTTCTCTTGTTTGTCGTTCTCTTTTCTCAGAACAAATTTTCTTCTTTCTTTTCACTTCTTTTCTTTTTTCTCTTTCTGAGTAATTTTCCTTTTCTTTGTTTGTTTCTTTTTCATTCTAACCAACCTTACTTCCTTAGATTTTGCCTTTCTTCCCCATACTCTCATACATCACAATTTATGTAATCAATTAATTATCATCTGTTCCTCAATTCAAATATGAAAGTTAATCTCAAATAAGGTGAGGATTTATATGGAAAGTGGCTTATTCATCTTCATAGGTTTTCAAAGAATAAACAGACCTAGGCTCAAAAGGGTTTAACTAAGGAATGTCAGCAATTGTTGGCTATTTGACCATATAGTTTAAAGAAAGAACATGTCTCAATCATATCCATAGAATATATCACATACCAATTCAAGCAAGAAACAAAGCAAGTTCTAGAGTCTTTCATACAGTGGGATGCACACTTAATAAAAATTTTCTGTATAGGCTCATGAATGCACAATAATTTTCCTATTCCTCATCTCAAAAAATTTCATCACTAAAGAGATTATTCAATAAATCATGAAAATCATTACATTGATGCTTATTATGAAAATTTACGTGAGTGCATCATCATGCTCTGAATCAATCACTGATTAAAATTCCCGCCATTTTTCCATTTAAAAGCACTGAGTAAAATTTTCAGAATTTTCACAAAACAGTGGCTTGGGGTTTTTATTATTTTAAAACTCTAAAAAAAATCAAATTCAAATTGCATTAAAGAAAAAGAAAAAGGTTGAGATAGTTCCCTGTACTAGTCGGATGTTCCGTTTATACTCATGCAGTTTCTCTGGTTCATTTAGCAATACCCATTGATGAACTACGTGTTTCCCTTTCCCAGATTTAAATGTTATTGTCCCCAGCAACTGATTTAAATCTAAAAAATAATCGCGTTGAGAATTCAGAACTAGTGGATTCCTCTGAAACAACATCAATCAAAATTATCAGTCATCAGTGTTGAAATACCATACTACATCACAGGGTTATCTCATACCATAACAATAAAAAGAAATAATCGAAAAGAAAACAGAAATAAAATGAATATAGCTAAAGTTATCATTCATCAAGCTCCTCCTCGTCCTCTGCATCTCGCACAATGGTGGGCGTCATGACAGCATCCTCATCCTCATCATCCTGGCCCTCAGTAGCCGGATACGTGCTAGTCCCTCTCAGTGCAGCGTCATAGGCATCATCCTCCTCGGATCCAATATAAGGCTCGGGCTGGAAGGCTGGTGGTCCTCTTTTTCAACTATCACTTGATCACCTAAGTCTCTATCTAATTTTTTTTGTATTTTCTTACTTAATCAAACTAGAAAAATTTTAAAAACAGTAAATTCCAGGGTTGCCTCTCCAGAAGCGCTTGTTTAACGTCATGAGCCTGACATACCTGACTCACTTTACATCTACAAGGGCAACCGTGGTTGTTCCCCTGTCGATTTCTCCTCCCATGTATAATTTCAGACGTTGGCCATTGACTGTGAAGCTCTTGTCAGAATCCAGCGGACTGATCTCTACTGCTCCATATGACTTCATATTCTTCACGATAAATGGTCCTGACCATCTGGACTTTAATTTCCCAGGAAAGAGGAGGAGGCGAGAGTTGAAGAGTAATACTTGTTGTCCCACCTTGAAGTGTCGAGGTAGGATCTTCTTGTCGTGCCACTTCTTCGTCTTCTCTTTGTTAAGACTCGTGCTCTCGTATGCCAAGAGCCTGAACTTATCCAGTTCATATAGTTGAATAAGTCTCTTTTCAGCTGCGGTCTTGGAGTCAAAATTGAGGTACTTGATTGCCCACAGTGCTTTGTGTTCTAGCTCCACTGGTAAATGACAATCCTTCCCGAACAGTAATTGGAAAGGAGACATACCAATTGGAGTTTTGAATGCAATTCGGTATGCCCACAGTGCATCATCCAGCTTTTTGGACCAGTCTCTTCGTGAACTTCCAACCGTCTTCTCCAGTATACGCTTTAACTCTCGGTTGGATATTTCAACTTGTCCACTTGTTTGCGGATGGTAGGGTGTGGCAATCTTGTGTTTTTTCTCCACACTTGGCCAACACATACTCCACTTGTCTGTTGTCAAAGTGAGTTCCTCCGTCACTGATGATTGCTCTCGGTACCCCGTACCTGACAAAGATATTTCTTTTGAGGAAGGCAATGACTATCCGAGAATCATTAGAAAGGAAGAGCAACAACCTCTACCCATTTAGATACATAATCCACCGCAACAAGGATGTATTTGTTGCCATAAGAAGGGGGGAAAGATCCCATGAAGTCTATTCCCCACACATCGAAGATTTCAACCTCCAATATATAGTTGATGGGTATTTCATGTCTTCTGGAGTTATTCTCCGTTCTCTGACATCTATCACATGCTTCTACAAATTTCCTTGCATCCTTGTAGAGTCTTGGCCAGTAAGCCACTCAACAAAACCTTTGCGGCTGTTCTTTATCCCGCAAAATGCCCTCCGTAGCTTGAAACATGGCAGTGCCACAAGATGTCTTTCATCTCTTCTTCTGGAATGCACCGCCTTATTACTCCATCAGCACATCTGTAGAAAAGGAAGGGCTCATCCCATAGGTATTTCTTGACATCATGCAGAAACTTCTTCCTTTGTTGCCATGCAAAGTCCACTAGAATTTCCCCTGCTGCTTTGAAATTTGAAAAATTTGCGAACCATGGAGGTGTACTTTGCATATCCGAGATGACATTGATAGCCAATATTTGTTCATCAGGGAACTCTTCTTTGATCTTCAATTCAGGTCCATCTTGAAGATCTTTTTCTTGGATCCTGGAGAGGTGATCAGCTACTAGATTTTCCACGTCTTTCTTGTCTCTGATCTCAACTTCAAACTCTTGAAGGAGCAACATCCATCTGAGCAGTTATGGCTTTGCATCCTGCTTATTCAACAAATACTTTAAAGCAGCATGATCAGTGTAAACAATTACTTTAGACCCTAACAAATACGGTCTAAATTTATCAAATGCATAGATAACTGCTAGTAATTCTTTTTCAGTGGTAGCATAATTTAACTATGTATCATTAAGAATTTTACTAGCATAGTAAATCACATGCAAAAGCTTATCTTTTCTTTGTCCTAAGACAGCTCATATGGCATAATCACTAGCATCACACATTAATTCAAAAGGTAAAGAAAAATCGGGTGCAATGATTATAGGTACAGTGGTCAGTTTATCTTTTAAAATATTAAATGCAATCAAACATTCTTCTGTGAAGTTGAATTCTTCATCATTGACCAACAACTTGCATAGTGGCTTTGCTATCTTGGAAAAGTCCTTGATAAAGCGCCTGTAAAAACCTGCATGACCGAGAAAACTTCGAATACCTTTAACATTAGAGGGAGAGGGAAGTTTCTCAATAACAGATATTTTCGCTCTATCAACTTCTATACCATCTTTGGATACTTTATGTCCTAAAACTATGTCATCTTTTACCATGAAGTGACATTTTTCCCAGTTTAAAACAAGGCTACTCTCTTGACATCTTTGTAAAACACATGACAAATTTTCTAAACAAGAGTCAAAAGAGGGGCCAAAAATAGAAAAGTCATCCATGAAGATCTCAATTAATTTTTCAATCATATCAGAAAAGATAGAAAGCATACACCTTTGAAAAGTTGTCGGAGCGTTGCATAGACCGAAGGGCATCCTCCGGTAAGCGAAGACTCCGTAGGGGCATGTGAATGATGTCTTCTCTTGATCTTCTGGAGCTACTGCTATTTGATTGTAGCCCGAGTACCCATCTAAGAAGTAATAGTATGCATGGCCAGCTAGTCTTTCCAACATCTGGTCCAAGAAGGAAATGGGGAAGTGGTCCTTCCGAGTGGCTACATTTAGTCTTTTGTAATCAACACACATCCTCCACCCGGTGACTGTCCTTGTTGGAATCAGCTCATTGTTCTCGTTTCTTACCACAGTGACTCCACTTTTCTTGGGTTGTACTGGACTTACCCATGCACTGTCGAATATAAGATAGATCATTCCTGCATCTAACAGTTTAACTACCTTTTTCCTCACAACCTCTTTCATGGTTGGATTGAGTCTCCTTTGTGGTTGCCTAACAGGTTTAACATTATCTTCCATTAGAATTTTATGAGTACAAAAGGAAGGATTTATAGCTTTTAAGTCGGAGAAAGACCATCCTATGGCCGCTTTGTATTTCTTCAACACCTTGAGAAGCTTTTCTTCTTCCACGATTGTTAATTCAATGTTGATGATGACTGGATAAGTGTTTTTTTCACCAAGGAAAGCATATTTCAGATTTAGAGGCAGCTCCTTAAGCTCCACCTTTGGTGCACCAAGATGGATGTCATCTTTCTTTTTCTCAAGCTCTTCCACCACTGGTTCTTTTTCTTTATCAACAAGTTCGGTTTCTTCGTTGATTTTCTCTAACTCAAGCGAGGAACTCTCCTCTTTCATCGTGTCATCAACTGCTTCTAGAATTATGTCAACCATGAAACAGTCTCCTCCATCAGACAGATGCTTCATTGACTCGAAGACATCAATGGTGACTGTCTCTTCATTCTTCCTCAGCAGCAGTTTCCCTTCCGAGTAGTAGAGGAATCTCTGCATCTTCTTCCATATTCAGGATTACAACATTTGTAGGAAAAATAAATTTGTCAATTTCTACTAAAACATCCTCTATAACCCCATCAGGTCGTCTGATCGATCTGTCAGCTAACTAGAGAGAAACCGTAGTTGGTTTTAGCTCTCTGATTCCGAGAGCCTTGCACATGGAAAGTGGCATCAAATTTATACTTGCTCCCAAATCACATAATGCCTTTCCTACTTCGATATTTGCTATGGCTATAGAAATGCTGAAGCTACCGGGATCTTTTATCTTGGGAGGAAGTTTCTTCTGGATGATCGCACTGCATTCTTCAGTTAAGGTCATTATTTCGCACTCCTTCAACTTGTGCTTCTTTGACAGAAGATCTTTCATGAATTGTGCATAGTTCGGCATGCTTTCCAGGGCTTCTACGAAAGGAATGCTCACTTGCAACTTCTTGAAGATATCCAGAAATTTTGTGTATTTTTGTTTCTGGACTTCTTGTTTCAACCTCTGAGGGTATGGAACTCGTGCATAGGGAGACGGATCCGTCGGCTTTGGTTGCTTGTCCAGAGCTTTCTTTTTCTCCGATTTGAACAACTTCTTTTATGGACTGCTCTTTTCGTCTTCTCCCGCATCTTCCTCTTTCTCATTTTCAGCTGCAGGTTCAACTTCTTTCTTCTTCTCCACTGGAGACTTTTCCACAGGTTGGATCACGATTCCACTTCTGGTAACAATGGACTTACATTGTGCATTTTGGTTAGTGTCTGTGTTACTCGTAAAGGTGCCCTGAGTTCTTTCAGTTAACTGTCTTGACAGCTGGCTAACTTGCGATTCCAGGTTTCGGAGAGAAGCTCTTGTTTCATCTTTGAAGGCGTTTGCATTCTGAATATAGTCCGAGGTAGTTTTGGACAGCTGTGCAAAGGCTTTCTCCCATTCTGAAGTGTTACCTTGTGGTGGGGGTTGTTGTTGCATTGGTAAAGGAGGATTCAGCTGATGATTTGATTTGTAACTTAATCCTGGGTGTTGATTTTGATTTTCCCACCCTTGATTATAGTTGTTTCCATATTGGTTCCTCCCCGAATTATTCTGGTTCTTTTGATCGTACCAGATTTCGTTGACTTCAGCATTCTCAGGTGACCTCATGTAATCGCAATCTTCAGTCGCATGAGTTCCTGCACAAATACCACAAGTAATTTGAAAATTATTAACAGAAGAAACTTGAGAATTAAAAAATTTCTTTATAAGAGCATCTATTTGTGCTTGTTGTTTCTAATTAATTTGTAGTATTTGTTCATTTTGGACCACTATTGCATCATAGTCGTCAAGCTTCATGATCCCTGCTCTCCTGCGTGAGATTGGGGCATTGTCAAACTCTTGAGAAGCTAAAGATTCCAGCAATTCTAGCGCTTTCTCTGGAGTTTTTGTTTTCAATGATCCCCCTGCTGCAGCATTCACCAATGTTCTTGTACTTGGCGTCATTCCTTGGAAGAAGATTCTCCCTTTCTTCCAAGCTTCAATGCCATGTTGGGGACACTGCCGGAGTAGTCCTTTAAATATTTCCCATGCCTCGTACAAGGTTTCACTTCTTTTTTGTTCAAAAGTAGTGATCTCAACTTTGAGTCTTGCTATCTTTGAAGCCGAGAAAAATCTGGCCAAGAACTTCCTTGTCAGGTCGTCCTAACTGGTGATGCTTCCTTCAGGTAGTGACTGCAGCCAAGCTCTTGCGTCTTCTTTAAGTGAACATGGGAAGAGTCTGAGCAAGATGGCATCACGAGAAACTCTATTCATCTTTAATGTATCACAGTAAAGTAGGAAATCATCAAGATGACTGTAGGGGTCTTTTGTGCTTCCTCCAGCAAACTGCTCTTTTTGAATCAATTGTAGCAGCGCTGGCTTAAGCTCGAAGTTGTTAGCATCCACTGTTGGTCTAACAATACTTGAAGTCTGAGGAACTTCGGTTGGAGTCATGTAATCTCCCAAAGTTCTGGGAGGATTCTGAATCGCGTTGTTGTCAGCCATAGTTTCTTCTTTTGGTTCCGTCGAGCTTGATGTTTTTGCTTCTTTTGCGCTTTTTCTTAGTTTTCCGGCTGTCTTTTCTCTCTCAGGATCAAACTGCAAGGATCGTGAGTTAATAGTACCTCGTATAAACTAAGAGTAAAAGATTATGCAGAAAAATAGAAAATGCATAAAACAGAAAACATAAAATTTAAACAAAAATATATAATGTAGAAAATGCAGAAAAAAAAATTAAAATTAAAAAATTTTAAAAAAAATAATAATCAAAAAATTAAAAAATTATAATAAAAAATAAAAAATAAAAAATAAAATAAAATAAAAAAATTTAAAATTTAAAATTTAAAAAAATAAATAAAATAAATAAATATAAAAAATTTTATATTTTCATTTGATTTTTCATATTTTCTTTCTTTTAGCTCTTAAATATCAAGGCATGCTTTTGTTGCTCCTTAGCTTTTACATTTGACTATTTTTATTTTTTGTATAAAAATAAAATGCAAGATGTGAAAGCATATAAGTTTTAGAGATTTATGAATATTATGTTACATGATGAAGCTTACATCATTTTACACTTATAATGCAAGTGGGCCCCACAAGTTTTTATCAAAAAACAAAAAATAAGAAAATGGTGGGGGCCACTTGCATTGTGAGTGTAGAATGATGTAAGCTTCATCATGTAACATAATATTCATAAATCTCTAAGTTTTATTGTAAGTTGGACGTGAAAGCTTCACATTGCAAGTGTGACAAAATAGACTAATAAACTTAACAATATAAACTGAAACAAAATTGAGCAAACCAGAGCCACATACAAAAGCACCTGCATTCCCATCTATTTTAATTGGTACAAAACAGTTGACGGAACCCAGAATACATGCAATACTTATGTCATGTAGACATTGGCGCTCTCAGTTTGGTTCTGAATATATATATATATATATATATATATATAATATTTTTAGTAAAGAAACGTTCTGGCAGGGAAGACACCGGTATGTAACCCGCCAGGGCCAGGGCAGACCTGTTCAACCTCTATGAGGATTTACGCCAGGGACAGCGGCAAACTAAACCCGCTTTACAGTTTACTCATCAACAAGGGCCTTTAAAGCGGCTAGAGGGAGTCGAACCCATGCCCTTTTGGGATATGGACCGACTCCTTAGCCACTTGTACGACACCTTGTTGACTTGGTTTTGAATATATTAGGTGTCATAAGATATGTACAAACTTTTAGATAACATGTCATATATGGACATGCTGGACTTCATGGTGGTGAGACATTCAGCTTTCAAGGATGTGTATTTGCAATTTCATGTAGAGAGTGGATAAGGTGTGGTGATTCTACCACGGGAAACATCATCAACACTATTTTGCATGAGCTATTAAATATATTTAATATTATTTTCTTTATTGCTATAGTTTTATTAAATTTGAAATATTTTTAATTAAAAAAATTATATATTAATCACATTTAATTAAAATGTGGTAAGGTTAATTAGCCACATTTTTTTTATCAATGTTTGCCATATTTTTAAATGTGGCTAAATGACATTTTTGTTGTAGTGTTCTTCTCAAACACCAATGAGCTCACTTGTGCATCACCTTCATTCTGTTTAGATAAAAGCAATCCCTCGCATTCCCAAAAGGTCAAATCATCAAGTTCTCGCAACTTTGAAATGCTCCTTGGTAACTGAACAACTCCTCGACAATAACTCAGGGCCATTAGTCGAAGACGAGTGAGGTTTTGAATTGAAGATGGAAGTTCTTTTATGGGAGTGTCACTGATTTGAAGAAATTTTATTTTTTCCATCTCTCCTAATATTTCTGGAAAATTCTCAAGACTGTGACAGTGTGAAAGCTCGAGTTTATCAAGAGAGGGCAACTTGATGGGTGGAAAACTCCTAAACTTCTTGCAACCATTGGCTTTCAAGATTTTAAGTTTATTCAGGAATCCAACTGATTTGTGAATTTCAATTAAATTATCACAATATTCAAATGATAATTCTTCTAAATTTGGGACACCAGCCACATCAGGTATCTCAGTAATACATTGACAGTAATCAAAATTCAGAACTGTCATATTCATAAACTCCTGCCACAAAAAAAGAAAAAAGAAAAAAAAAGAATCAAATGAATTATAATAGAATGAATATATAGATATAAAAGACCAAGGAAAAGAACTTATTATATTTACCTTATTTGACATGAGCAAATCAATTGAAATAGAGCGACTTTGGGGTAACTTCAGTATCACAAGATTTTTTGGATGAAAATTAGATGGTAAAGATGGTGAGGGATATCTCCACCATTCCAATACTTTCAAACTATTTGGAAGATGTTTGGGACCTTCCGAAAAACAACCTTTTCCAATAATAAGTGTTTTGAGGTTTCTCATCTCCTTAAAGGCGTTTCCATCCCATTTAACCGCTTCTTCAAATTTGAGGAAATCCAGCATTATGATTTGAATACTACTAGTTCCCTTTCAAGACAAAAGCACACGTCAATCGTAATACATGCATATATATGTATGGAGAAGAACGGACAGTGAAATAACACAATCAATAAAAGAAATAAGAGGAAAACAAAAAAGGTAAAATTTTAGAGAATATTAAGTATCATAGAACGAAAACAACATACAGTGAAATAAAACTATCAACAAAAGATTGTAAAGAGGTATAAATATAGTGACCTAGGTGTCAAGTACATAATAATCAAAAGAGATAACTAAATGTAAAATTTGGAAAACTAAACCATCCATATCATTCTTACCTTATTATCTTCTAAAACTTGAACTATATCATTGAGGGACCATAATCTACTACGTTTGCCTGGCTCTTCCGGTGCTTCTTGTCTGACAATTTCTTTACCCATGTCCTCTATCAGGTCATGCAATGTTACACAACCCCACACATCAATCTTTACAAGAGATTTGTCAATCAACACTCCAATACCATATTCTGGGCGAAAATCATGATGAGCATAAAGTAATTGTTTGACATATGCTAAATCATTTCCTTTGAAGCAACAAGCAATATCAAGAAATACTTTCTGCTCATATTCCTCCAAAGAATGAAAACTTACTTCAAGTATCTTTTGGATCTTTTTATTAGGAATTCTCTCATACTGATCTAATGCAGATTCCCATTCTTCTATCCTTTTTCCAAACAAGTTGGAACCTATTACCTCCAAAGCCAATGGAAGTCGAGAAGCATAAGTTACTGCACGGTTTAAAATGTCCACATAATCGGGATCAATTTTGTCAGTTCTAAAAGCATTCCAACCAAGCAATTCAAGAGCTTCTTTGTTATTCAACCCATCTAGCTCATATGTTCTCTCAATCCTATGACTTTTCAGCAAATGCTTGTCCCGAGTTGTAATGATGATTCTGCTACCAGAACCAAACCAATCAGGCCTTCCAACAATTGCCTGCAATTGCTCTCGTTTATCAACATCATCAAGAATTAAAAGAACCTTCCTCCGCTGGAGCCTATGCTTTATTATTGGAATTCCTTTATTGACACTTGCTAACTTAATGTCCTTCTCTCCGACTAAATCAGAAAGAAGTGTTTCTTGGAGATGTTCTAATCCATGTTTAACTGAATTTTCTCTAACATTATCAAGAAAACACAAAGCTTCAAATGAATCAGCAATCACATTATAAACTGCTCGAGCAACTGTTGTCTTCCCTATTCCCCCAATTCCATGGATCCCTAACATGTTGACTCCATCAGATCCCACATTGAGAAGTGAGATTATTTCTAGCACTTTAGACTCCAATCCAACTGGATAATCAGCAACATATAAAGGAGAGTGATTAATCTTGTTGGAGACCACTTTAACAATCTTCTCAATAAACTCATATTCGTACTCTTTCCTGCCCAATTATTGAGTGACATCATACTAAATGATTCATATTAACAGTAAACCAAATCATAAGACAAATGAAAATTAAAGAAACAAAACGTACAAAGATAAAACAGTACCCTTGTTGTTTGAAATGAAAGCCAGACAAATTAGCTGCTTGACACAGAGCCATCCTCCATTTTCGCACCTTCTCCATGTCATCCTTAAACCTCTTATCATGAGAAGCCATTGCTTCTTCATAGCTACCTCTCTGATGTCGCACGTGAGAAGGGTCAACATCGTAAAAAATTGGCAAAACCATCCGACCCTTTTCCTTGATGCAGTGAATGATATGGGCAAGTTCATCTAAGCAAAAGGAAGAAGAAGCATAGTTCTTAGAGAACACAGTGATGGCAATCCTGGATTCTTCAATTGCATTTTCAAGTGATGGTGTGATTTGATCTCCTCTTTGAAGCTCTTCATCATCAATGAAGGTATGAATTCCCCTGTCATGAAGAGCTTTGTAGAGATAGCCAGTGAAACCGTGACGAGTATCTTCTCCTCTGAAGCTCAGAAACACATCATATTTCCATCCAAAGCTAAAGGAAGAAGAGGGCAACAATGATTCTTGCCTTGCCATGATTGCTCACGATTCTCAAACTAGAGAAGTTTGGAAACACAGTTTGGTAAAGTAAATTGAATAAAGAAACAAAAGTTGATCTTTTGTAAACAAAACAGCACGCGGAGTTCACTTCTTTGCCTACTTCGATATTTCTTTAGCTCAAAATCAACAACTCACAAATACAGAAGTGTGAAAACAGTGTATTTTGTAAACAAAACAGAACGCGGAGTTGACTTGTTTGCCTTCACAGATTTTGCTTTATTTAACTTTTTTATTTTTTATTATTTTTTAAGGATAAGAATATGAGATATTATAAACTTGTACTAATATCTGAACCACTCAAATGACTTCCCGTGATGGTATTGATTTATGGGTGTGTCCCACATTGATATTGGTCTACCGTAGACTTTTCAAACATGTTATAATAAGTAATTCTCCTCCTTTGATTTATTTAATTTCAAGTTCATAGTGTTCATATTAACAATAGTGTCCTTTCTTAGTAATCTTTTATTTGGATGGACTAAATCAGACGAGTGCAGGAGAATCAAGAATGTGTTGAGTTGGTTTTTGCAAACTGGTCTAAACTCTCCCTATTTTTTGACAGATTGAATGAGACAAATGGTGACGGGTTATTGCAGTTAGGGAGATCTCATTTGAACATAAAGGCAAATATTAATCAACTGTGATCTCAAATGATATTGCTTGCATTCTACATTCCTTTTACACTGATTTAATAAACTCTGTTGTAAATATTGTATTGTTTGGGTTTAATTTATTTTGAAAATATTTGATTCGATTTGGTTTCCTGAAATTAGAAAATTGTTTGATTTGTAATTACTAGGATTGTTTTGATTGGCATAGATATATTTAGAAAAATAATATTCAAATTTCCCATATTTTCACTAGGCATCAAAGCTCTGACATGGGATATTTTGCTTCCACGAATCGTAAGTATGCCTTTTGTTAAAGTCATTGCCTCCAATGTAGGTGTCGCCTCCCTTGCGAACTATTTTTTTAGGGCCTGTTTGGAGCACCTGATAAAGAAGATATGATATGATAACTTATCATATCTTACTTTTATCTCTTGTTTGGTGGGTCAATAGGATATGATTAGCTTATCCTATTGTCTCATTTTATCCTATCCAATACATGATTTCTTATCCTATGAGAGGAGCTGGGTTAGGATTCAATAGGATATGATATCAATATTAGATATCCAATATATCCCCACGCTATCCAATATATTCCCACGCTACCCAATATATTTGTATTTATTGCATTATTTTTTCTTTCTCCTTTCTCCTTTTACATAATCTTATCAGATTGCTAATCATGTGCTCATCAAACACATATCATATCCTATCCTTATCAGTCACATATCATATCCTACCCTTATTTTATCTTGTACACCAAACGAGCCCACATGCTTATTTGCGCCTTGGACACTGGTGGGATGCTACTTATCCACATTGATGCCATTGAATTTGAATCCCAAATCACATTATTGTTCAATGACTTCATTGCCGGAGGCAGAAGCAATGAAAGTCATTCACCGCACTGTCCCACATGCATTTCCAGTAAACTCAAATTTTGTTCTTATTGCATTTATTGTTCTGTGAAACTCATATCTACCAATATATGATATCTTCATTTAATTTCCCCCTCTTATAAGGATTGGTGAATCTGGATGGTAGTTGGTATTGGATTTTTTATTTTTGGATCTGTAGTTTTTAAATTTCATTTTACTGTTTTGATGATCAACCCGAAATGGATTGGAGCTAAACTGCTTGTGGGTTGGGTTGAAGGTTTCCCCTACCTTTCTTATGTTTTTAAACTCATTTTAATTGCAAATGTGTTTGTTGTAGTATGCTTAACTAGATGTTAATTTGATATCTGTTTTTCCTGTACTTGGCCAAGCCGTAAAACTGGCAGAAGGGAATTCTGTTGAGAAACGGAAACCTTGGACAATATTCAAGTAGTTTCTTTGCTTAACACAAGTTAAGAACATGCATTTAATAGTTCTTCCTCTTATTCCTTGCATAGACATGCCACGGATTAAGTTATGAAGATACAATTTTTCTATTTAAAAATGGGGAAATCATTATATCTCATTTTTACATGATATAACTTGTAACACCTCGTGTGCACCCGATGTATTAGACATACATATGGTAATAGCGCAGTTAATTAAATGCGGAAGCTAACTTTTTCTTTCCAATTATGAATCATTCATTATTAACCAAGTGGATTTATTTAATTTCTTTTCAAAATATAGCCTCTATGTAAATTGCAACAAATAGTACACTGAATAATCTCATGACATAAATATTTGTGTATCTAGTCACGGAACTACAACACGTAGACCGGACAATATCCTGATACAAAATTACAGCTCAAATATAAAACAAACATAACTGATACCAATGTGGAATGGACAACCCTTATGCTCACCAAATAAGGCAACATAGTCAAACAATGTCTCAATTCAACTCACAATACGCTAATAGCAAAGCATAATCAGCTCAACTCTGGCCTCCTGCCACTAGAGGTCTCAACCCCAGAGGTACCTGTACCCTATGTTGCACCGACACCGACACAGGACACGAGATACGACACGATAGGACACTCCGATACGTTAATTCTAAAAAATGTTAAATTTTGACACGTTAGGACACGTTTTGATATTATATAATATTTTTAATTTATGTAAGTGTATATTATATTTAGTATTCAATAATTTAACAAAAAAATAAAGCTAAACTTATAATACCCATCAATTTTGCAAAGAAACATAATATATCCCAAATGTTTATATTAAACTCAATAAAATCATAATCGTAAATCTAACGAATCTAATAGTTGGAACTCAAAATGCAATGCAACGTAACCTTTGAACCTTTTGGAGTGTCGGGAAGTGTCGGAGTGTCGGTGAGTGTCGAAAAGTGTCGGACACGACACGTCAGGATTTTTAAAGTGTCGGTGCTTCATAGCCTGTACCTAAAAATGTGCCCCACATGGGGTGAGATCTCTAAAAAGAAATCTCAGTAAGACAAAGGGCCCTCCAGGACTCTTTTGTACCAAGCTCACTTACAACTATATAAATATAAGTTCAAAAGCTAAGTACGATGTATGTTCATGTTAAAGCAGTATAATCATGGCAACATATCCATATATAAATGAATGCTCAGCAAGTCATGTACTACGACTCATATCTCATGTGATGTATGCAAGTGCGGTTCAACTGGCCAGGGAACATGATAGGGTTTATGCACGTCTGCTACCTACCTAACATGAGGGATGTTGCCTCATGCCTTGCACACCAGGGTTGTTGCCTGATCATACAAGTACTAACATCACATTCATACATTACATCAACAGGTATATCAACATATCTCAGGCATATATCGATGCATATCTCATTTTCATAAAAGCATATCATGCATATAAACCACCCTCCCATGGAGGTCGGTGGAACAAGCAACAGATCAATCCGAGGACACGAAAGCTTACCTGTCAAGCTAGCAATCACAAGCTAAAAACCCCGGGTCACCAAACAACAAGGTCATGGTCTGTTCATACCAGAAATATCATTAATATTCATAGCACAAAGTTTCATTAAGGTCCTACATAGTATTTAAGACTTCCCAATTTGTTTTAAGTAATTTAAGGCTCAAACTGCCAGAAGTAATCGAATACTCCTCGATAAGTATTCGAATACTTCATGTTTTCAGAAAGTATCCCAATACTTTCACTAAGGTATTCGAATACCACAAAGTATCTGAATACTTTTACTACAGTATCCGAATACCACAAAGTATCTGAATACTCCCGATTAGATTCGAATACCACAAGTATCCCAATACTTTTACTAAGGTATCCGAATACTTCCATTCCCAGAAAATATCCCAATACTTCTTGATGAGTATTCGAATACCACAATCAAGTATTCGAATACTCCACGAAAAGTATTCGAATACTTTTCAAACAAAATGCAGAAACTCGTGCAGTTTCTGCATAAACTCCATTTTAAGGGTCCTCCAACGATTTTGAGTCTAGTGTCTCCACAAACAGAAGTTCCTTACCACTTATTAGGCATAGATTATCAACCATTAACTTGAATAATCAAAGTTCTCCTTTTTAATGACTCAAACAAGCTAAAATCATGAAATTTCAAGGGAAGTGATCATGGTTTACCTTAAGGCTTGTGAAAACAGAAAAAGGAAGTGACTTGGTGATTTCTATCTCACTCCACAGAGCAGCAAATGTGAGGCCACAAAAATGATCCTCAAGCTTGGCTCTTTATACCAAAAGATGGCTTCTTGAAGCCTTAAATGACATGTAAATGGCTCCCACAACAACCAACCAAAGTCGACAGCCCCCAACTTAGAGCACACAACAACTCACACTCTCAAGAACTGATTTTTTCTCTCACACCAATGTTGCTCTCAAGTGTCTACAAGGTTAGAGATAAATAATCCATAGTAAATGTGGTGCCTTGAGGGATTTCTATGGAGAGGAAGGAAATGAGGTAGTGGAGGAAGGTGGCAGCAGCCAAGAGCACTAGAAAATCCACATAGAAGGGAAACCGACCTAGGTTATTGTGCCTATTGCTATTTATATGCGCATTAAGTTAATCCATCGGTATTAGTTATAATAGCTCCACTAATCATTTTAATCTCAAACTTCATATTCTGAACCTAGCCATTTTTCTAGGATTTTTCATATTTTTATTATAATTTTCACAGCACTTTGCCGGTACGCATTTTATATGCCGTCGGTATTAGTTCTGACATCAAAACTCATTATTATGACTCCAAACTTGGTACTCTTAGCCTAGATATTATTCTAGGAATATTCATATACTTATTATAATTTTTCGGGATACTTCATCGGTATGCACTTATACCGTGAAGCGAAATCGGTATCTGTACTTTTAATCAAAACAGCGATTTAAGCATTATTTGTCCTTCTCAATTAATCTTTCTATATTTATCCAAAGTCAATTATGGAATTATTTCTTAAACTCAATATATTAAATTATTTAAATTCCTAATTTAACGGTGCAGGTTCTTACATAACTCATGCTCTTTCACATTGAAATTATACAACCATTTTTTTTTCTTTTTTTAATGGATGGTGGGACTCACCACATC